GGTCTCGAACCCGCAGGCTCAGGCAATCCACTCACCTCAGCCTCCCAAGGCGCGGGATTACAGGCTGAGCCACCGAGCCGGGCCAGTAACATTTTTATTATTTTTGATACCATCTCAGTGCAGCAGAGAAGAGCTTTTACTGGTAAATGTGTCTACCATTACTAAAATACATATTTTTTTATTTTAGGTTGGGTGTGGTGGCTTGTCTCTACAAAAAATTTTTAAAAATTAGCCAGATATAGTGGTGGGCCCCTGTATTCCCGGCTACCCAGAAGGCTGAGGTGGAAGGATCGCCTGAGTCCAGGAGATCGAGGCTGCAGTGAGTCACCATCATGCCACTGTACTCTAGCCTGGGTGACAGCAAGACCCTGACTCAAAAAAAAAAAAAAATAACAGTTAATATAGTCATAAAAAATTTTTTATGCTCTTGGCATTATAGTAAAATCTATTCACAAATCTTTTCTGATCTATCATCTCTTGCTTTTATTCCCTTTAACATGCGTAGACCCAAGTTTGGATTTTTTTCCCCCACAGATTATACATTTTTGTGTGATCTTTTACATAGTCCTTTGCATATTAGGACCTACAATGTAATTCTCAATCTTGTATAACGGGTGCTTTGATGGGTTGGATTATTTTTTAAATTAAAATCCCAGGGATTACTGCTGTTTTTTGTTGGCTTGTAAACTGGCAATTGGGTTTTAGGGCTGCTATATCGAAATCCCACTCCTGTGCTCATCAAAATACTCCTGTGGTCCAGACGCGATGGCACATGCCTGTATTCCCTGCACTTTCAGAGACAGATATGGGAGGATTGCTTGAGCCTAGGAGTTCAAGACCAGCCTGGACAACATAGCAAAACCCTATCTCTGTCATGAAACAATAAAAAGGGAAGAAAAAAATGTTCCAGGGATGATGTTGGACAAAACAAGGCCAAATTCACTTGAGGATAGGGCCATAACAGCAGGAGTCTTGGTACAGCTTGCTAATTTAGATATCTCATGAAAATAATAAAACAGACCAGGCTAGGTCTATTTTCACGAGATATTTAGCAGTCCAGTTTTTGATGGCTGGAACTCCTGGGTGTAGTGGTGTGTACCTATAGTTCCAGCTATTTGAGTCCTCCCACCTCGGCCTCCCAAAGTATGACTTCCATTTCATCTTTGCCACAGACCAGGGAAGAGGTGAAAATCTGGCCCCCACAGCACCAGGGAATTTGCCTGAGCCACACCGCAGATGGGCTTTGAACCAGAGCCCACTGGCTATGGCACCGCTCACCTGTAAAGCAGGCCACCTGCTCCAGGTGGAGGGTCCCGGGGTCCCTCAGCAGCCGCCAAGGTAGCAGGGCCATGGTCCTGTCCGGGGATAGCCCAGGGTGGGGGCTAGGCTGCTTCATCTGTCCTTGTCTCCTCAGGACACGGGCCTGTACTACCACCGGTACCTCCAGGAAGTCATCAATGTGCTGGAGACTGATGGCCACTTCCGCGAGAAGCTGCAGGCTGCCAATGCTGAGGACATCAAGGTGCGGCTAGGGTGGGGCGGGCATGCACGCTGGCGGGGTGGAGCCAGGGAAGGGCCTGGGTTTCCCAAAGGTGCCGCATGGCTCCGGCTCAGCTCCTGTTCGTTCACCAGAGTAAGACTCAATGAGAAGTGACTTCTCAGAGTCACACAGCTGTGGGGACTTGGGGGACACAGAATATGTGGTTAAGCACAGAGTTGGACAGGCAGGCTTTCAGTCTTGACCTACCACTTGCCAGCCATGGGACCCCCCCACCTTCTGTGCCTCAGTTTCCCCCTATTTTGTGCGTGTGTATGAGTCCGAGTCTCACTCTGTGGCCCAGGCTAAAGTGCAGTGGCATGATCACAGCTCACCACAGCTTCAGCCTCCTGGGCTCAGATGATCCTTCTGCCTCAGCCTCCCTAGTAGCTGGGGCTATGAGCATGCATCACCACACCTGGCTAATTTTTTTTTTTTTCTGTAGAGACAAGGTCTTGCTGTGTTTCTTAGGCTGGTCTCAAACTCATGAGCTCAACCAATCCTCCCACCTCGGCCTCCCAAAGTGCCACAATTACAGGCATGAGCCACTATGCCCAGCCAGTTTCCCAATCTTTAGAATGGTGGCCACAATAGAACCTATCAAGCAGTATGATGGCTCATGTCTGTCATCCCAGCACTTTGGGAGGCGGAGGTGGGAGGATTGCCTAAGCCCAGCCGGGGCAACTTGGTGAGACCTCATCTCTACAATAAATCAAAAGAATTAACTGGGCATGGTGAAGTATGTGCCTGTAGTTCGAGCTATTTGGAAGGCTGAGGCGGAAGGATTGCCTGAACCCAGTAGATTGAGGCTGTGGTGGCCATGAGCATGCCCCTGCCCTCCAGTCTGGGCAACAGAGTGAGATTCTGACTCAAAAAAAACAAAAAACAAAAAACAAGAACCTACCTTATGGGGTTCAGGTGTGGATTGTCCCAGGGAAGATGTGTAAAGGGTTTTGAAGAGCGTGGTAGCAGTCCTCAGTGAGTGTCCTGTAAGGGCTGCATCTTCTAGAGATGGAGAATTCAAAACATTGGAGACAGCTGGTGTCACATCACCATTAATGTTCACGTCAGGCCTCCAGAGGAGCCATGATTGTCCCCATCTCACAGTGGAGGACGCTGAGGCCCCAGCAGCAATGTTTGACCTTCCTGTGGACCTGGGTCTCACTTTGGCCTGTCTGAGCCCAGAGCCCTGGCACCCCCACCTCAACCTCCCCCCCAAGGCAGACCCCCTGAGAAATGATGCAGGATATCCACCATGAGGGATGGAGATGCCTGACCCAGGTCTCTGTTCCTCATTTGGGTGCATGTTAGAATGTCCCACCCAGAGGAGTTGCCTGATATGCCAGCCCTGAGTTATCTAAACACCGCAGCATCTTGGACTGGTTAGGAGGGGGCCCTGGTCCTCCTGGAAACTTTCTGCATTCCTGGTCCTCCTGGAAACTTTCTGCATTCCTGGTCCTCCTGGAAACTTTCTGTATTCCTGCAACTCTTATCCATCCTTGTCTACCCAGCCTCTGATGTTGGGCGTGCAGAACCACTGTCCCATTGTACAAGCAGGGAAACCAAGGCTCAGGGGGTCGCCTGGCTTGCCCAAGGTCATGTGCCCTGGAAAGAATATCAGAAACAGGCCATCTAGACAGGTTGTGGAATGGTTGGTGGCAGGTTTCGGTCTCAGCTGCACCTTACACTGTTCTAGGCAAGTGGCTGCATTGCTCTATTTCTCCATTTCCCTCTGAAAGCAAGCAGGGTGATATGATGGTTTCCCTGTTGTGAGGGGTGAGTATGTGAGCCAGCAGTCACCCATACTTCAAGTACCTGGCCTGGCTCTGGGATAAATGTCAGTCATTTCCTTCTCTGTGACAGTAATACCTGGCCACTTTTGAGGTCCAGAGCAGGATCCAGGTGTGCTGGGTCACTCAGGCTATCACCTGGGTTGGTATTTGAACCCTGTCTCCAGGACTCCCACTCTGGGAAGACATGATACCCACCTGGTTATCAGGCTGAAAACTGGCCTCTCATCATCAGTGTCTGGGGCACCTTGGGCAAGTGGCTTGTCTTCCTTGACCTCAGTTTGTTCATCTGTAAAATGGGGCTATGGGACCGGTTGGAGGGTGGACCTAATAGGTGCATGGCTGGTTGTTATTATGACTGTCCCTTGGTCACCTTGTCCTGAATCCTCTGTGAAGGTTGCACCCCATGGGCTGGAGAGTTGGGTGAGAGTCATGAGTGACAGCCATCAAAGCAACATGAGCGATAGCAGAGAGAGCAGAGGGCACTGGGAAAGCCCCAAGGAGGGATCCGTTTGAGAAAAGGGACCCTAAGTGAGGTCTGAGTCCAAGCACGGGTGTCTGTGGTATAGAAGTCAAAGGGGGCCAGGCTCGGTGGCTCAGCCTATAATCCTAGCACTTTGGGAGGCCAAGGCAAGTAGTAGATTGCCTGACCCCGCGGGTTCAAGACCAGCCCGGGCAACTTGGCGAGCTCTATCACTACAATAAGTCAAAAATTAGCCAGGCATGGTAGCAGGCATGTGCAGCTACTTGGAAGGCTGAGGCGGAAGGATCGCCATAGTCCAGTAGGTGGACACTGGACTGACCATGAGTGTACCACTACACTCCAGTCTGGGCAACAGAGTGAGACTCCAACTCAAAAAAAAATCAAAGTTAGCCGGGCTCGGTGGTTCAGCATGTAATCCCACGCCTTTGGGAGGCTGATGTGAGTGGATTGCCTAAGCCCATGGGTTCGAGACCCGCCTGGGCAGCGAGACCTCGTCTCTACAACAAATCAAAAAATCAACCAGGCGTGGTAGCGCGTGCCTGTAATTCTGGCTACTTGGAAGGC